CCCATCGTTCTTCCCAGTTAGGCTCAAGCCTCAATCCTAGTCACTCTCTTTGTCCCTTTCTGTGACTCTCCCCTTTCGGCTTTCTCAGTGCCGACCACTAGCCTTGGATGCCACCTCTTCCTTCTCGGTGCTCTTGCCCCTTTTCAGCCCCCGGGCAGCCCCATCCTCGCCCCGGTTCAGCTCACCCCGGCAGCCACACTAGCATTCAGCACCCAACTGCAATGGGGCAAGACCTGAGCCCAATGGGGCTAAACCTTACGCCCTGAACTCTCTAATGGAAATGACGTAAACAAAAGCAAACCACCAGAATGAACTTGCAGAGGGAAATGGTAAAGGACAAAGACATATGGCTACCAGTGGGGGAAAACAGTATCTTTTATTTATGTACTTACAACAAAAATCACTACTCTGTCTCTCCATTTCTTCAGGGATACCTACCAAATACCTTCACAAGACCAGCCTGAGGACAAGCATTCGTAATTCTGCTAGATATGAAACCTCACAGATGCAGGAGAAACACTACTTTCACAACACCTTACAATCTTCCCCACACGCCATCCCAGACGACTCCTCTATGTTTCACAGCTGATAATTAGCAACCTAGTTATTGCTCCTATGTGGAGTAACGAATTAATCACCTCCCTCCTTTGCTAGCACCTTCTTCTGCTTCACAAGTGCCACCCCTCATTTTCTCTTCGCTGTCTAAGCAGGTAACAGAATTAAGCAAAACTTTGAATAGCCTGTATGTAACCTGAAATTTGGTGCTTCTGTTTCAGAGCTAAAGGAAGACTTGCCTGGCTGAAAGCTTGCCTACTTTTTCCCAGCTTTATTAGTGTCAGAACAGATGCTCCTTCTCCCTTCACCTATGCAAGAAATCCCAATCCCACTGCACCCAGTAGGTTTTCTGTGGCCTGTTGGTAGGGCCAGGGTTTCACCTGTTATCTCTGCATTTTATGGCATTCACATGGTCTGTTATGCTGTATTATGTCTGCCTGAGCTCTGTTGTCAAGGAGCTTTAATACACTTTTCAAAAGGCTTGAGGTGTACCTTTGATTAGCAACAGGGTGATGGATGTATGTAAATACAACATGAAGAAAACTTTGAAGATCTCAGAGAGAATTTTCAGAGTATGATGATTCAGAGACATTTACAAATTCTGCCAAGAAATTAAATATTGCAAAACTTGATAGCGTTGAACAGTATCATTAACGCAAAGCATTAAATAATTAGAAGACAAACCTGAGAAAAATGCAAAGGGTCATGATCATCTTCTAGAATTAAAAGTGCAACAATTTTCTTCACTTATCTTCCTGTTGAGACATTTCCTGACTTTTCTCTCCCATCCTGAAGGAAGGGAGACTCAACGTTTTCATTTTAAAAATGATAAAGGAGGCTTCAGTTCCCATGTAATTGCACAGACCTAGGAGATGAAGTTTCAAGACAAACACCAAGTGCTCTTGGTGATACCAGGAGCACTTGCTAGCTTTATACATATACTCAGTTTGCCTGTTGCTGAAAAGTGGCCACCTCTAGAGCTAAACATTCTTTACTTTCACAGCATTCAGGAGAAGCCTAGGAAAATATTAAGGCAGGAAGAGGAGAATAGTGACATAACAAGGAAAAAATATAGAATATAGGGTTAAAAAGGACTTTAGGGGTCATCTGACGCACTTTCCCAGCCCAAAGCACAGCCAGCTACACCTAAGCCACTGCCAGAAGATGTCTGCCAGCCGGTTTCGTCAGGGATGGAGATGCCAGATGTTCCCCAATGGATGCCTGGCACTTTGCCCTCACCTTTCCAGCCCTGCCTCTGGTTGCGGGGAACAGCATATGCCTCCCTCTGCCCCTGCCTTTCCCACAGTCGAAGACTCCTCTCTCTTCCACATTCTCCCACCAATCTTCTCCAGACCAAACCAAAAAGTCTACCTTGGATTTTGGCCAAGTACATCATGTCAACATACCTGACTTCCACCAGAGCTTCGTAGGCTCTTAAACGACCTCCCTCCTGTAGCCCCTGTCTTGTTTGGGGGCCTTTTGCCAGTCAGCGGTCTGTGCCGAGGCTCTCCAGCAGTGCCATGCTGTGCCATGCCATGCCATGCTGGCGCTGGAGAAGGCTGTGCGCTGGGTGCAGCGCTCATCAGCCCCCAAGGCAGCCCGCCCCATGGGGCAGAAGCAGATCCAGCCAGGACACTGCTGTGGCGGAGGCTGCTGCAGGAGCGGACATCTGTGCAGCAACCAAAACTGCCTCACCAAAGTGTAAGGTGATACCAAGAGAGAGACATCAAGCTCTCCAAAGTTAGAAAGTTGCTTAAATTAGGGTTTCCCTGAACCAAAACCAGTTTCCTTTTATGTAGGTGTGAGAGAGTCTTTAATGCTTTTCTAATGCTTTTAAAAAATATTTATTTTAAGGCTAATCATATAGTATTTTTCCACTGGGCAGGTGCGAATTGAGATTTTTCATTTGTAATGCGGTGTAAACATGGCTGGAATTGCATAGTGCAAGGCATGTATGTGGCCTGTCCTCCCCAAACTCTCAAGGCTGGGGAGGATTCTATTATCCAGAATAGGAATAGAGCCTCTAAAAATGTTTGTGAGACTTCTTTCTGCATGGTTTTTTCCTGCTTTGGCTAAAACTTTCTCAAAAATTCATCCTAAGGAAAAGCAGCAGCATGGAAAAATTCAGCCTAGATACTTATTTTAAGCAATTGAAAAAGAAAGTGTTATAAAAAACCATGTCTAATAATGTGAATAAAAAGCACCCTTTTTTATTTACAGCAATAAGCACTTACTGCCCTTCTGGGATCTCTGACTTTATCACCAGCCTTCCTAACAGTAACACAGTCTGGCTATACTTAAATTATCATTACTGCGTCATGTCACAAAGGGCTATGACAAGAGTGCAAGAGGGATATTCGGGAAACTGTCTCAGAAGACATAAACTTAAGGGGAAGGAGATGCTGAGTCACTGTGTTAATGCTTTCTACTTCTTTTCCTTGGATTAGCAGGCTTTTCCTGAGAACGACAGGCCAGAGGCTCGGTTGGGAGCGTCCCTCGGAGCTGGCACGTTAGCTGATGGATGGGAGCTGGGGGCAACTGCTCAGCCCAAAGCATCTGCCCTGCCTGGAAATACTGACTTGTGCGTTGCAGCAGCTTCTGGAAGCGCCGTGCCGATTAGCCGTAAGCGCTGTACAAACGCACAGTGAAGGACAACGCCTCCAGCGCCACCAGCGCTCACGGGGCGAATTCGCTGACCAGCCAAGGCGGGAGCGAGAGGGGGGCGAGG